AGAAGAGATACGGGATGTACCTTGGTATCTTCCTGCTTTTGACAAGTAAACCCTGGGATATCGTGTTATAAACAGAGACAGTTCTGGAATTAGTTAACTAAATAATGGGTCCTGGGTAAACACAGGACCCTCTGCCTAGTCACGGAGTGGAGTATGAGTGCCAGCTTGAAGCCACTGCCCTTTAAGATCTCTGCGAATTCAACTTTTTAGATCATTACCACTCCTTATGTTCTTAAGAATAGGCCAGAGTTGTTTTGTTTTGTTTTCTTTGTTGTGCACTCAAATGTCAGTACAGAGGTGCTTTGGATGAGAGTCATGTTTTTCCTATTTAGTTTTCCACACTGTTGACAGCTGTCATGTGGGAAAGTAACCCCAGCTTTAGTTTTTTAACTGCAAAATGTCTATCACCCGTCTTCTGTCAGCAGTGAGGTAACTTGTGGTTAGTTTTATTTTGTTTTGTTTTGTTTTTGAGGGGAGAGGACAGGACAGTCCACCTTGGCTTCAAGCGTGAGAACAGCTTTGAATTGTGCAGCCTCAGGCCATCAAATCCTAGCTCCATAAATTCAGAATGTATCTGGGCTCATCTTGTGTTGAAGTCAGTTTCAGGGGCCTGGGCATATTTCCCAATTACTATCTACCTTATGACTTCTTTAGGATGGACCTGTGGAGGTTCCTGCCTGCTTTTGCTGAGCATCCTTGCTTGAGCACTGCATCACAACAGTAATCTCATTTTATTAACTTCTTGCAAGAATAGTTTCTCCAATGAGAGGTTGTCAGAATCTCCTCCTTAAGGAGTTCTCTTATTTGGCACCTGATATTTGTGAATATGATCATTTTTTCTATTTTTTTTAATTTAATTTTTCTATGCTTTATTTTCAGCTTACAGTTTGCATTTGTTTTGGTAGTTCAGTGAGCAAATGTAATGAATGTATTTAATCTCATAGTTGGTCCTACCAAAATATTTTGTTTGTAGACTCCATTTCTGTTTGTATGTTTCTTTTTTCTGTATTCTAGGTGAAGTAATATTCTCTCTATTGATAACTGTCAGCCAGTGGAATGAAGAAATGGAGAGAGGAAGGAAAAATAGGACAGGGAATAACATTTGGTTATTTCTTTAACAATTCTAGAGGATTTTAGGATTTTCATGTTTGCTAGAAATTCTTGATGGCATGAATAGCAATAATGTATGGGCAAGTTGTATTAGAACACTCCAAGAAAGTTAATTATTAGTTCATGCTTAAATATGTATTGTATCCCTTCAGTCAGCATACATTGACTGCATTCCAGGTATTGTAGGAGGTATGAGATAAATAAGGCACTCTGCCTCTTATGGGAAACAGACTAGAAAACACAGTATGATAAATAAATGTTAAAGATATGAACAGACATTTCAATGATGTACAGACGCAGGAATTCATAATTCTGCTTGAGGAGTGGAGGAAGGTTTCACGAATAAAGATGGCCCTTGAACTGAGCCTACACAAGACATGTTTGCTAAGCAGAGAAGAGGAAGGTAGGGAGACCTAAAAGGTCATTGCCTCTGCAAGGAAATGTTTAGTGACTGGAGCTGAGTGTACCAAAGAATCACCCAGAGAAATTATTTTTTTAAATTAAGATCCTCAGACCCACCACCAGAGATTCTGATTCAGAAGGTTCATTTGTAGTATTTCTTTGGCAGTTCTATGATAGCTGGTCCAAAGACTGCATTTTGAGAAGTACTGACTAGATCAAGTGCTTAGCTCTTCTGACTTCTAGTTCTAAGGAGTTTGACATACTAGAAATAACTCACATTTTGCAGTCTGACATAATAAGGTTTGAATTCTGGTTCTGCTCGTAGACGATACACTCAGTGCTAATCCACAGCTCTAGACTTGGACAAGTCACTTACTAAGTTTTTACATCTGTAAGTGAGGACAATAATATCTACCTTTGCAAGACTGTTACAAAATATAGAAGATGCAAAATACCTAGCCACATGTCTGGCACTGGTAGGTTGTCATTAAATG